CAGGGAGCTGGCGGTGAGGCAAGGAAAAGAGATGCTTACCCTCCAGGCTCACAGGCCCCCAGTGCAGAGCTGCATGGAGGAATTTTCTTCTTGGATACTGGGGAAGATTCGAACACTGTTGTCCAGCCCTTGCTGTGTGCTCCGTTCTTAAATTCTTGAAACATTTTTTACTGCAGCGTGTTCTCTTCTTTCTTTTCCTCTTTCAGCTGTTGAAAAGCTCTTGGTCCCACTGGTAATGGCATACTCAATGGTAATACTCAATGGCATACATTGGCCCAATAAGTAAACATTCAGTAACAAACCTTTTACATATTTAAAGAGCCACTAAAAATGTGAAAGATGTATTTCATTAATGCATCTATTAACGTAAATGTAAAATGAACCTGGCCTGTAATCACCAACAAGTCTGACTCACTAAAGATCTTTATGGCAATGTTTAATACTCTGTAAAAGTGTATGCGTAAAAGTGATTAATCAAAACACAGTACTGCTTCTAGAGTATTCCTTCTGCTGTAAAGCTGAGTGATAAAATAACTTAAAACACACAGCAATAGTGGCAGTTAATAAGCTTTTTATAGTCCCTGTGTGGACTTGAAAATCATACCTTATTAGTATCTTTATCTTTCTTGCTCACTCATTCATTCTTACTCACATTTAAATTTAATTTTAAGGGTTATTTCTAGTCTTTCATAAGGGACCTGCTTTAATAATCTTGGCATTTTTCCCCATTTGCTGTGAAATGACTAGGAGTCAGAGCTTTTGTTATATGTACTTTACAAATCACTCTTTTTTTTACAGATTATTTCTGGAGATGTCAAGATTTTATGACATTGTTAGACTTCTTATCTTGTTTGACTGTGTCATAGGCCCTCTGGAATTGTTTCCCCGCAGATGTTTGCAGTTCCATTGTGTACCCTGTTAGCTGCAGTGACACCTACTGATCTAGGGCAACTGAATTAACTAAGAAATCCAAATTGCTAAATCCAGTCAGCTAGCTGCCTGGGGTCGACTCACCAGATGTTTCGCCTGCTTAGAAGTCTGATACTTTATAGACCTGCCTGCTTTTTTAATCCTTGAAGCAAATATCAACACATTTGAGATCTGGAAGCTCACGGCTCCACACGGAAACGAAGTGTTGCCATGACCACAGCTGTAGGTCTTGCATATAAGACGTTTATCCCAAGTATAACAGAGCAGGTCTATAGGACGCTTGTTTTAATTTTTATCTCTTGGAAGCCTTGTAAAGAAGCATACGTATGCCAATAGAATGGTAATAAATACTGCACAAAGACAACACACATTTGGTATTCAAACTTCATTTAATGCTTCTAACAGGAAAAAATTTAGTTATTTGCAGGGCATCATTTGAAATTAATAGAAATAGAATCGCTCCTCACTCTTGCACAGCATGTTTTTCAACTGTTGCATATGGGCTTTTCCCATAAGGATGAAGGGCTCAGAGATCTGATCACATAAAGAAAATCCCTTTATGCTTTTGTTTACCGGAGGACTATGCTCTGAGTAGTTGGAATATTAATTTTCTCAACTGAAAAGTATACTGAGGTTATTAGGGCTTTAACTTCTTTAACAGTACTTCCCAGGCATTTACAGTGGATAATCATAGAGCTGGAGCAGATATGGTTTTATTTCCTTACTGTCATTATGATTACAAGTGGCTTCATTTGGCATAAATTGATTATAGATGGGTATAGAATGAGCGGGTACAGCTGATGCATTTATTTTCAGGTCTTCTATTTCTCCATTTGCTACTTAGGGTTTTCAGAGTAGCAATTCCTTCAAATATTGTTGAAGAGAATTTTGCTCTGCCCAGTATGGCAAAACAGACCTTTTGAAAAGCCTGTATGCCATACATTTTTTCATTAATATTTTTATTCTTCTGATGATAGTATTAATATGGAATGCAGATTTTACCACAGTCCAATTATTTGTTGCCTGGAGAATTGGAAATTCAAATCCTAAAGCTATTCAGTGTTCATAGAATTTTATATGGATTTGGTTAATTCCATAGGATAATTTTGACAACAGATTTTTATCCTGTCCTTGCTGAGAGCACTGAAGGGCCTCACACTGATATCAGTGAGAACATGATCAAACACGGTTGGGCAGCAAGTACTTCTATTTCTTTCTTCTTTTTTCTCAGTAGAGAACCATTAAGCCTGTAGTGCACAAGCCCATGCAAAATTACAGTGGGTGGAAGTTAATTTTATCATTGGAAGCCCATGGCAATTAGAATGCATCAGTGAGCAGGCCATGAATTTTTTAGAACAGGGTGTAAATTCAGGCAGAGATGACACTGGGTCATTTGGTTTAATACTGTCTTCTCTGTATTGCTTTTCTTAACAGTGTTAAATTTTTTGCTGGTTTTACTTTTTAATGTTTGTGCAAGATTTTGGTTGAACTGAAAGACATATTACAATAACAGTGAAAGAGAATGGATTTTCATGCTATAGCAATGTGCAAAAGAGGCCAAAAATCTGAACATTTCCCTAGCCTTGGGCAATACGCTGTATACTTAACGTAACAGGTAAAATTGTAAGCCTGCACAAATCCCATCTGAAGTAAAAAAATAGCAAAGCAAAAAAAAACAAAAGCTGTTTTCATCAGAACCAACTCACTATTTCAGATTTATAATTACGCTGGAACTTGACAATTTTATGGCAAGAGCAGCTCTACCAGCAAACAGCGCTATTTTTGCTAAGAGTTGTCATTGGCAGTTATTACAATCAAAATTGTCACTTTATTTTATTTAAAATATATTTCCCCAGTAAGCAAGAAATAAAACCTTGACTTGAAAGGGATGTATGTTAAAGATTTATTTTTTTTTTACTTTCCTCTTGAGTATGCAGCATATCCAACTTCAACTCCCTGCAGCAATACAAAATGCCCAAGAATAATGTTTTCAAAATCAATACACACTACAGTCAAATATGAGACTCCACAAACCCATAATTGAAACTGTGGCAGAAAAGTAGGCAGCCTGAATATAAACAAAGTACCAGAGTTGGATTATGACCAAGATGCAAGTGCTGATACACCCTCTCTTGAGAAAACTGCCGTGAGACCTTCCCAGCATGTGTGTTAGAGAGCAGGGATGTTTCAGGTGCAGCCTGCTGGTGCTCGTCCTCAGGCAATTTATTGTTTGGCTGCCTGACATCTCTGTAGAGAGCAATATATACAGAGTTTCATCTAGCTTTTCTTTTTCACTTGGGGTGTCTCTAAATCTGTGAGCCTCTCTCACTTTGTATCTTCTCACTCTGTACGTATGGCCTCTGTCTCTCCTGTGTTTCCCAACTGCTGCTTTCACTGCCACCACCATTCTCTGGTGGGGTTTGTGGCTCCACAGTCTTGGGACTACTAGAACTCAAAAAGCAGCAGTGGAATCAGTGTGCTGCTCAATACTCAGGAAAAGTAAAGCATGGACAGAACCTGCTGTCTTTCTGGAAGCACTGGAATGAGTAGGGATCACAAAAAAAGAACTGAAGATTGTTTATAGGTGAGGTGTGTATATGGCTTGATCAAAGGATCCCTCAAAGAACATTAAGACACCATATTTCTCATTGCCATACAGAAGAAAAACCATGCACTGAGATACGACTCTTCTACTCCCCAGCACAGCCCACGGCAGAGCCAAGTAGTATTTTCCCTTCTTCTCACTAGCAGCATATGCTACATGTCTGTCTCTTGCGATCATCATTCTCTTTCTAACCAAGTTCTTCCTGTGTGGAAGACTTGCTGCAGAGTCCCCAAGAACTTCATTTGATCAGAAGCTCAGAATTATTGATGAAAGTCACAAAAGATTTGGATCATTAACTTATGAGCCTGAGTATTTGCAAGATTTCTGCTTTTTTCTGCTTTCACCAGAGGAGAAACCTAAAGTCAGTGATTTACAGTTTAAGTATATGCATAGTAGTTCAGCTGTTCTACTTAAGTCAGTTTGGCCTGACACGAAAAATAAAGGTAAAAAAAAAGATCACCGAGGCAATGCTGCAGACTTTCACAGGAGAGTTTGCAGCTTTGAGTCAGAGTACATAGTTTGCACTAAGGTATATTTAATAAAGAAATCATTACTTTTCTGTATATCATTGTTGTCAGGCATGCAAGGACACATTAATTTGTGTAGGAACACACAGATTGATCATTTACTTGTGCAACTGAGAATTTCAAATTGGGAAGAGTAGGGGACGTTTTTATACCTTTTGGCCCATAATTCATGAACATATTTGACATGCTTGACCCCAGTATTCTGTCTAGCTCTGTCAGAAATGAAATGCAGCTCCTCAGTTCAGTCACCTTTTATAGGCTGCATTAAGCAGACTTACGTTATGCATATTTGTACAGGGTATAGAACAGTGGGACCCCCGAACTGATTGGGGTCTCTGGAGGACTTTCAGAGCATAAATATTGAATGACAGTATAACAGTAGGCAGAAAGGAAAGTCCAGAAGTACTCTTTAAAAGAGCTCTTACAAACTTACCTAGTTTTGTACTCTCAGAACTTAGTAAGATTTTATCCTTTCCAATTGCATCCTCATTGAAACAAAGAACAAATCCTTAAATTATGGCCAGACATGAATGAGAGAGACAATAATTGCAGATAAGAGCAAAACACATAGTCCAGTCAGTGTGGATGCTGACACCACAGCCACTGCAGACTACTCTGAGATAGGTGTCATGTCATAACCTTCAGCCACTTTAAAATCTGCCTGTTAATAGTCCAGCCATGCAGCGCCTTACATTTCAGGTTTGGTGGGGCCTTTCAACTTTGTTTCAAGCAATAGCTTTGAAAGTACAGGGACAAATCAATTTGTAAGCAGTCCTTTATTGCATATAGCCCATTTCATACTGTGGGAAATTGATGAATGACTAAGATTAAAACTCACAGTATTCTGATTACCTAAAATTTCTGTGTTTTATGATAAGTACTGTTTTTTTCTTCTAGTAATTATTTCCTCTCAACTCCTTCCTTGATGTCTTAAACAGATTTGGTAAGAAAAAAGAAGATAAAAGTGGGAAAACAGATCAGAAGGGGAATCCAAAGCAAGGCATGCTTAAGGAGGAGGAGCTGGAGAAGATGAAAGATGAACGTGAAAGGTGGGTAAACGGTGGCAGCATCTTTGTTCATCAGATGAAAAAACTGCAAAGTAGGGGATTCCTTGAAGACAGCCTGGCTGGAAAAGTCCTGGTCCATGCCTGCTGGCAGTCAGGTCCAGGAAACCAGCTTTATAGTCTGATCTCCTGGCGGAGTCATGGCTGCTGTATGACAGGAGCTTGTCTGCCTCCTGCAGCTTCTGTGCTCTTCACTGTGGTAGGTGCTATTCAAATCCCAACTTCCGCTAAGCTGATGAATATCAGTTCCTTCAAAACCTGTTTTACCTCTGCCTATTCCCAACACCAGCTGACTTAGTAATTTTTTCCTCTACTTCTCGAAAGCAAGAACCTCCTCCCTTCTCTCCTGACAGCCTCTGTTGTGTTTTCCAACACTTCAGACCTCTCCATCTTCAGTTGGCTGTGCCGTTGACTGGTAGTATTTGTACTTAGGTATGTTCTTTTCTGTTTGCTCATTAGCCACTTGTTGCAGAAATATGTACACAACAAATGTTGAGTATGCCAAGAGGCACCAGGAGTAAAGTAGGTTCAGATGGTTAAAATCAGTCTGATGAGGGGGTGGGGTGGGTGAGATGGGTGAAGCAAGAAGCTGGGTGTGTGCCAGCTGTGAGTTGCAATATTTCTGAGGTAAGGCTTTGGGACTGAAATGAGAGGAACCGCTGATGTGAATAAGTCCAGTTCTCTGTCCCATTCATAAAACACTCCTTTCTTCATGCCCAACCTTAGCAACTTCATTATCTTTCCAGACAAAGAGAATTCATACTTTTCTGGTTTCCCTTCAGGAACTGGGGACAGTTTGTAAGTGCTGACAAGGCTCAGAGAACGCCTTTCTCCCTTTCCCCAAGTCATCCAGATGTACTTCATGAAATGCTGAAGGTCTTTGTTTCCCTCTGATGGCTACTATCACAAAAGTTAAAGACCCCACACTTTGTGGCTCTCAAGAGGTGTCTGCAGTTGCTGTAAAACTTTTCATGTTGTAGTAATATGGGTTGTCAGGGCATGGGGAAAGCTTTCAGAGGTCTTTTTCCTTCACTGCTCCTGGGAGACCGAATGGAAGCAGGTATGGTTTCTTTTAAGCAGGCAGGGTTTTTCCATATGGGCCAGCCTTTGGGTGCTGATCAGTCCCCAGGGAAAAGACACCCTGCTTTCATTCGAGTCATGCAGTAGGTGGTCAGCTGAATAAGTAGTAGCTAACAGGTTTGATGGGGGAAAAACATAAAACCAAACACCAACTCTTGAAGTCTGCATCTTATATCTACTGTTTTAATAGCTAGTAAGGTATCCAGTTGCTACAGTGCTGCTACTGGATATGCTTAGCCAGTGTTTAAGTATTTAGTTCATCTGAGTTAAGTAGTGTCATGAGAAACTTTGTACCATTTGTTTTAAAATTTCTGTGCCGTGTCCTTGATTTTGCCAGATTGATGAGTGCCTTTATTTTAAACTGCTGACTCTCAATTTGGATACTGGCAATTTGAGAGGTATGTGTCCTTCATTGTAAAGAAGCCAGTGTCTTTTATTAGGATCCTGGCAAGCTAAGAAGCATGTATCCCATCTGTTAAAGGGCCAGTGTCATTTACTAAAATGTTGGCAGGCTGCAAGGAATGAACCCTTCTGTCTGGAGGTCTAACGTTCCAATTGGACACAAGATAATTGTTCTTAATATTTCTTTAGTGTTGTATGCTATTTTTTTTAAATCACAGTCACTGATTGACAGTAACTTGGTAAGGCTGCATTAGAAACTGGCAGCTCAATGTCTTCATCATTCTGGTTTCTCTAGTAATGATTTCAGTTTTGACCTGGAAGAGTTTGCGACTGAAATGGAGAGCAGCAGGTGTGCTGAGAAATGGATGAACCAAGATGATATTTTTAACTCACTTATTTGATTCTTCTTCCATAATGAACAAGAATAGAAATATCACACTTTTGTATCAGGTAATACATCTTGTATGTTTGGGGAATTAAAATTATAAAATAATTAACAAACCAGGAGTGAAATAAATTTTCCCTGACATTATCCTCAAAGCCATACAACACATGCTGGAAAAAACACTCAGCTTTCCAAACGTGGAAGAACATGGCTGTATATATTTGCCCACTATAAAACTATATGCGGGCTGACTGTTGAACTCTTCTTGAGTTGATCGTAAAACAGAAGAGAATTCATCCTTTCCAGATGAAAATTGTATAAGGAAAGCAGTTCTTATATATGGATAAGAACTGTTTGGGAAATTGATTAAAATCAGTAGGAAGAAACATTACCTGACCTGAAGGTAATTCAGTCTTTTTGCTTAGTTGCTGACTATACACCTAGTGATGATACTCAGTAAGACAGTAAAGACAAGTTTTATAGCTCTGTCCCAAGATTTAGTAATTCTATAATGTAATTCAAGTCCAAGATTTTAATGCACATATTGGCAAAGAAAACCTTGTAGCACATCCACACCATAGATCTTCTGCTTCTATGACTTCACTAGCTGAAATCCTGCATACTTGGTCTCATATTTATAAAACCAAGCTTCACTGAATCTTACTAGAGCATAGGTATATTTTTTCAAACCTGTTCTTCTTGAGACTGAAATATGTTAAAACTACCAATGATGTAGTAGTAGAACAGAATATGGAACTGTTGTTAGAAATTTAGCATGTTTTGTCGCCTGATGCCTGTGAACAAATCCCATATTTAACAGCTTGAACAAAATAAAAATTGCTTTTCTAACATTTAACCTATGTGGAATTAACTTAAACATGCACCTAATTTTACCTTTCCAAGATCAGCTGTATAAGTAATTCTTGTTCAGATCCTCAATCCCATTATTACAGTCTTAAAGTCAGGGAGTTTTGCTTAAACATCAATTTTCTTTAATGCTGACTTCCTAAATATTTCAGGATCTGTCATACTAACTGATACTACGATTTTTCATTATATCAGGTGTTTTTCAGAGGCTGAGTTGTCCATTTTGGATACTGGTGGAAGAGATCAGAGTAGTTGATTTTTGGGCTGGGTGTGACAGGATTAATGATCAAGTGCTTTTCAGCATCTTAGCAGCTGTGGACCTCGCATGGTTTTGGATGTTGATTTTGCATGCAGTATATGCTTGGCAGCTCTCCAAAAAACAGAATTCTGTTCCAGGATCTCAGCTGAGAAGTATTTTTCAGTAGGAAGTGCATTTCCAGTTTACAGGAGCAGGGCGTCTCTCAGAGTTTTGCAGAGTTTTTTGGTGGGTATTGGATGAGTGCAGATGTTTCACAGAATTCCAGGGGTAGGCTTTCTCTGAAGGATGTAGCCTTCTTCCATAAATTGTGGCAGGTTTAACAGATGTGCAGAGATGTTCGATGTGTTCTGTCAGATGTGTATGGGTTGGCTGTGCAGTGACTCTGGCTCTGAGAAGAAACATCAGATCTTACGTAGGTGTACTGCATGAGCATCATGCTCAGAATAGGCTGGATTTCCTGCTTGCACAGAGAAAGAACTGTACAGTGCATGTGCAACAAGTCTGGCACATCCAGAATGTGTTACAGCTAGTAGGCGTATGCAGACAGAGTATACAGCACTCGTTCTGTAGTGCAGATGCTTCGCAAAAGGATTACATTTGCTTGCACATTGGTCCTCAGCATAGATTTGCCTGGCAGCTCCTTTTATGGGCTGCCAAGTTTCAGATTTGAACCTCAAAGAGTGAAAATAAATCTAGTATTTCTATAGCCTAGTAATTTCTATTTCCATTACACATTGTTCTAGTCTCAGTTTTCAGTACAACTCTCTGTGCTGCCTTATAGCTGCAGTTCTCTGAACCAGCTCCACATCCTGCACTGAAATGCTGACATCGTTATTTTTTGACTGCTTGTATTCCCTAGCAGTCCCCACCAAGATCAAGGTCTCGTTGTGCTCATTGCTGTTAGGGAAGCTTGGTCCTGACCCCGAGCACTTACAGTTGAGGTAGAAGAGAGAAAATCTGGCAGGAAAAAAAAAAACATCCTGTGGGTGTGAATCTGACATGCAGGCAGTGCAGCTGCTTGTCCAGGTTTGTAAAAAGCCCCTGTCAGGCTAGGAATTTGTTCCAGACCCTCAGCCCCAGGCCTCCTTCCTTTTCAAAGCCAGTACTTTATTATACAACTACTGCTTCTGCAAACTTCGAGTGGTTAACAGGAACTTAGGATGTTAGGCATTTCTTCTTTAGTAATAGCCTTTATCTGTATCCAATTGAATGCAAATTCAACACCTCCTCGAAATGTCACCGTTTTCTTCTTCTGCCCCTATCTCCCTTAGCTTTCCTTGTGCCACACTGATGCAATGTCACTGAAACTTGACTGAAGAAGTCAGAAGTTCATGGCACAGTTCAGGAGGACAGATTTAACTAGTGATATAGTTCTGAGGTAGTGGTTTGTCCTTCCTGACACAAGTCAAGTGGCTCATTGGACTGAGGCCCTATTTTAAATAAACTCATCATTTTGTTCATGCTTCAAAGAGTTTGGCTGTAATAAAGCATGTACTCCAAAGGTCTAGGATCTGCCCATAAAAGGAAAAAGCAAATGCTATGTCTGAGGTTTATTTTGATCAAGCTGACTCAAATCTGTATTTTTAGTGTGTTCTGTGTAAATTACTCAGAATTTATCATTTTAACACAAGATGTTCCACTACATTATTAAATACTGGAAGAGATCCTCTCATCTTCTTTCTTTCCCTTAAAACAAGATTTCTCTTCCTCCCTTTCTCCATGTTTTTTCCCACTTGTTTGGGATTGTGTTTTAATTTTCTAGCATTTAAAAATCATCATGAAACAAACTGGGATAAGTATATTAGACACTGGAGTTTTACCCATAATAATTTGTTTGCCTTTCAAATGTAAACAAAGTGACTATCAATTGAAAGAAAACTTTTTTTTCCTGTTTGGGATTATTTGGTTGGGATATTTCTGCTGAGACCAAAGTGTCTCTTCCAGCAGAGTTGAACATTTCCTTGATATTAGGGTAAATTTCACAAAAGGAAG